ACACTTTTTGCACGAGTTGCATACAATATTTTTTCAACGTTCATGCAAAAACCAAAAAATGTCTTATAGAACTGCAGTTGTTTTATCCAAATCATAGTAGCCGTGATCGTGTACCTTTGTTTGAGGCATTTGTTTACGTTTGTGTTTATAATTTGTAATGACATTTTTAATAAAATACATTTTTTTATTAATTTATTTATTAAATGATTGAAAATAATATAAAATATGCAATTGTTTTTAAACCGTAACACAGAAAATGAAAATGGACTAAATATTTGGCGATGATTTGAATATTTATGTTTGTCATGATCATAAAACGCTGTAGTAAAATGACAGATGAGTGCACTAGTGCAATAAAGACCCAGTTTTTTCACTAAATATAGTTCAATAAAGTTTTGTTTTTTGCATGAACGTAGAAAAAATAGTTTAAAGGTATGTAATTGGTAACTAAACGATTGTATATCTGATGCATTTAACAATTCCAATTTTTAATTCACCTACAAGTTTAAATATCATTGATTTGCTTACGCCCATCATATTACTTGTCTCTCCAACAGTATCGACAACAGAATACGAAGGATTTTCCATTCTTACATTGCTTACAAATATTTTCTCGTTAACTGACAACGCACACTTTTTTATAAGTTTCACAGGTGTAAACTTTGAACTTGAACCACACTGCATTTTTCAATACTACTGTCACTATTAACCGAAAATAACCACAACTTCTTACTGTATTAGAAGGCTAATAAAATAGGGTAGATAATATTGGGAACTGTAACTGCTTATCTTAACTTCATACCTCCCACCCCCCTGGTTATCATTTTGGTTTTTTCATGGCATTAGTAACCTCCAAGATGATAAAATAACGATTAGCCCTTACATTAAAAATTTCTATAATCTAAAAATTTACCCCATTGACATTTTTAATACAATTTATAGTCACATTTATAGATTTTTGAACCCTCGGATTACTTTTTATAATCTAAGCTGAAACCTTTCTCTCTACTTGTCATTAATTTTCATCCAAGAAGTCAATGATGAATAATGAATTAAACAAATTAATGTAGGTTTACCTAAGAGATAAATTTATAGGTCTTGACAGATATTTGGTATATACCTTGTTGTTAATACCATTTACATAACAATTTCAAATAACTCAAAAAAACATTTTGTAAAGTACCTACATACCGAAATAATACTCAATAATACATATTCAAAAAAATATATTTTTAAATGATGATTTTATGTACCCTGTCCCGTAAATAATAATATAGACACCCACACCTGAAATTTCCTGATCTGACAGATTTATTACTTTGTGTCGTTTATAATTCCACTATAGATAAATGCTAAATTTGTATAGTCTGGTGAAAAATTCCTTCCTAATATTCCTAGTTATAATACATTTTTTTTTTTTTTTTTTTCGAAAAAATGCATAATATTCTGAAATATACCAAAATTAATATATATGCAATTTGCTTATATTTATTATAAGTTGTTATTCGTATTGTTTTTCATGGTATAAACAATAATTCAATAAAAGTATTTTCATAATCAAAATATAGTATTCTACTGGCATATAATGGTTCTTATATGGTCGTTCAATAATATACTATTTCACTCATTGCGTAATTTATAATGCAGTTAACCTAGTTAGGTTAATTGATTTCACACGTAGAAGGATTAAGCGTTGGGGGAATTAGAAAGAAAAAACAATCGATTAATTTTTAAAAAATTAATCCGAAGCCCCAGTCAGGAATTGGGTATTAAGCTAAACAATGGGTTGATGTGGGTAGACATCTTTGTGAATGTAAGTTGCGACCTGGAAAACTTAAACATTCTGAATATTTCATAAGAATTACGAATTAATGTTTATCGATGATTTTTGTGCGCTCACGCAACCAAAACTGTGGTCAAACAAATAAAATAATGTATTAGTACATTTTATAAATAACACATCATGTTGGTTTATACAAGGCGTTAACAGAAATAACCGAAAAACCAGCAAAAATTCAAGTTTTCTTTTGGAATATCGGTTATAAAAATATTTAAACAAATTTTTGCTTGCCAAATTGAATTATTTTAATACAATAACTTCAAAGACAAAGCAAATCAATGGAAACAAAGGTTAAAAAATAATTGTGTGGCTGTCACTGACGGTTGAAACCACAGTTATTATTCACAAATGATTTGCCGCCGTTCCCTAGCTTCAGAAGTGGGATAAATATAAATCAGAAGTGGACAAGAGACATAACAATCTATTAATCAATCGAAATACCCAGACGAAAACATAAAAGCAACTGTTTCTTTTTGTTTATTTATTTATTTTATTATAGGACATCAAATATGATTAGATATGTTTTTGTAACGTAAATTATATAGTACGCCAATAATAAAACGAATTTGAGTTAATAAAAATGTTGTAGTTTACTCTTAGTATCTATTAGGGCGGGTTGTAGAATAGACAGTTAAAATATAATCTTAGTTTAAACTTTAAACCTTATTGTATAATTATCAATTATTGTTAAACAGAGTTTTTATTTTTACTTTGAATATAACCAGTTAAAAAATTAAACTCTTGAGTTTTGCAGCATTCCTTGTACAACCCGCCCTTAGTAATTTAGACTTTTAACTGTAAATTATATATTGAAAATACTTCTTCTGCTGCAACTTTAAAGTTTTTTTTTAATGATAAATGTGCTGAATGTGCTTTTTTTTACTAAATAAACAAGACATTTGCCGAACATTTTATGATTTAACTCGTTAAATTTAATTTGTTTAATTATGCAGATAAGTATCAGATTTATTGCCGCAGCTAGCATTAGATTGCCGAGGCAATAAAAACTAGCCAAGACAGTAAATCTGTTTCCCTTCCGTGTAATATACATAATGTTGAATTGTGTGAATCGAATCGTGGTAGTATATTTTTGTTGAAATTATTAATTTATTTTTTCAAAGTCAATATGACAAAAACAGTAAAACAAAAGATAATAATTAACATATAAGGAGAGGTAAAAACTATGAACAGTAAAATCCTAATATATAAGTAACCACAGATGTGGATTAGAGGAGATAGAAAATGTAATTTTCATCAAGCACGTAGAATGGAAGACGGCCATCTTTTAAAAAAGTGACCCACGCGCTTGCGTATATTGAAGTGTACAGGATAGGACTAACACATGTAAACATAATTCGAAAATATTAAAGATTTAATTACACAATAGAACAAATAACCATAAAAATTCGTAATAGAATTTTATTTCTTTTATGGATTTTAAGAGATTTCTAAAAATAAAAAATGTCATAGTCTTTTTTGAAACTTTATTTAAAACTAAATAAAAACAAAAGATATTTAAAATACCATTTCATATAAAATGAATACAACAATCCAAGGCCGTAATATATTTTGTTGCAAATAAATCTGGAATCACGTGATTTAAACAGAACTTTCATATTAAAAACTATAATTTTGTATGTAAATTATTACATGGGAATATTCATTGCTTAGATCTTGAAAGTATTTTATTTCATATAAAAACTACAGCACTAAGGAATTCAATTTTGAAATATCGTTCCACAGTACTATTGCATGCACTTGAGCATACATTAAGAATCATCAATCAAAATAATTTAGAGATTATGGGCATATTCTTTAGTAAATTTAAAAATATTATCAGAAACATCTAGCAAAATATTTTATTAAAAAAGGAAAATAAATCCAAACTCAAATGTGACCAAAACGTAAAATAAATGAAAACAAGAAATTATCTATGCCATGTGTTTCAAAATAAAACGAGCGACCGTTTCCCTTCTGAAAACAACTACTTCTTTGGCTAATTCCGCTACAGACTGAATTATATCTAAAGAAAAACAACAAAAATAAAAAAATATATATTTAAACATTCAAGAATATGGTTCTGGTAGAAAAAATGTCTCATTTGTGAAATGTATTGTTTTCTGAATCCTCGTTGTTTAAACAACCAAAAGCAGAGCACGTCTTTCCCTTTTATTATTATCTATAGTAAAAATTTCAAATTTTTTTTTAAATTCACTAAAATAGCGAATTTTTAAAAAACCAAGAAAATTTGACGTAAGTGACACTTCTGTCGAAACGCTACAGCAACTGCGCATGTGCGTGATTCGCTAGAATTGTAAACATGGCGGCCTATATGGTATGCTTATTTTAAAACACTGGGGAAAATGGCTTTTCCTATTTCCTCTATCCATATCTGTGTAATTAACATATAATATAACCTTATTCTAAAGAAATAACCACAGAACTGAAATTAAGTGAATGTATTAGACAGTTTATAAAGACATTCCTACAAGGGAAATAAAATTGAGGTTTTTTTGAGTTTGCGCAGTAGGTGTGAAACAAGGTCATAATTAAAAAATATGCATATAACAATCTTTTCAGAAAAAAATTAACGGCGGGTTGTAGAATACGCGTTTAATCGTCCCAAAAATTGTTTTTAAATTAATAAAATTAACAGTTATTTTCAAATCACTTTCACAAATGACAATTGACATGTCTGACAGATACTCACTGCGCAAACTCAAACCTCAATTTTAAACCTCCTTAACGGAACGTAAATTTTGAGCAAGAATTGACATCAAATCCATTCTCCTAATTTCAGTTCTGTGGAAATAACCTATAAAAAATATCTTTCGATCGTTTATATATTGTACATCCGGTGAAACAACGTCGTAAATAAAAAAATCCATTTTTTACAAGGGACCCATTTGAAAGTTTTGCTCGTCATAAACTGAAATGTATTAAAAGTCAAGTGATTAAATAATTGCTCATTTATTGTTTATGTTATATTTACCACATTGCTGTACCAGATGTAGAAGCAGATTAGGCGAATTTTGTGACTAAAAAGTCACTTTCTAATATTTTTGCATTTATGACGTTGCACCGGATGTGCAATATATTTTGTGTCAATTTATCTTTAAAGCGGTGTTGCTAGTGTAGCTCCAATGAACCAGGTTGTTAGTTACAGAGTGGTGGCGTTGGTGGCGGGCAACTCGGATGCTGTGACCTTGAGCGGCCTTAAGGCCGACACACAGTACCAGCTGACGGTGGCCGCCGTCTGGCGCGGCAAGAAATACAGAAGTAGACCAATTGTCTTCCGAACACTAGGTAAGTCCATCATTACGTTTTTATAATTATAAAAATTATATTCTTGTGACTCAATTACCCCCCTTTATACAAAGAGAACGCATATTGTAACAATATCTAAATTAAATCATACAGGACATTTTAGAAAATTTTCCAAATAGATTCATTTATCTATTTGTGTCCAAAATTGGGTTAAAATTAATCATTTAACAAGGATAACGGTATAAGCCAATGCAATTAAATTATCAGTCAGTTGATTTTTGTCCCAAATCTAATGCACCATTAATATTTTGTATGTCTACAAAGATTGATCATAAATTGTTTTAGTTAAAAAAATGTGCACTGGGGATTATTTGACAATACAGCGTAAAATCATAAAAAATGAATTGTCGTAGCACATAACCTTTAAAAAGATATTAAAAAGGATAAAATGTGTCAAATTTATTGAGCAACCTCGAATTCAAATAAGAAAAGGAGTATAAAACTATGAATTGCAACATGATTACTGGTTATTTTATCTACTTTGATATATGTGTTTGAGCTCAATTTATAGGGCGTGGGTTAGGTTTTTAAATAACTCTAATAACTTTAAAAAAGAAGTTGTGCACCACAATATTTAAAGCTTATACACTTAACTTTAGATTAGTGATAAAAATATAGAAAATCACTAACAAATTATTCGGTATGGTAAGTTAAAGGTAAAAATCAGGTATTTCTTCCTTTGCCCCTAACTGCAGAGGTACATCAATTCCTAAACATTATATACTGGTCAGGCAACTTTCAGCAGGGTGATTCGAGATTCTAATTCATAACTCTCATTCGAGGTTCTTATTCGTGATTGTACCGTGAATGATCTTCAAGATATATGATTCTTATTTGTATTTGAACTCGAACCGTCTAGAGATTGCCATAGGATAAAAAGGGTTAAAATGTTATGATGGATTTGAAAAGGATTTAGATAAAATGCTTCAACTATTAAATGAATAATTTCACAGAGACTAAAATTAATATAAAAAGGAAAAATCCTATTTAATATATTTAAATATAGTAAAGCATAATATCTTATTTCAAAAAATAATATATAATTTTATATAGAAGCTAACATGTGTCATTCATTGGAGATGTAGAGGTAATGTATAAAATTTGACAATCTGCTTCAGAAATCATTAAACAAAATATATATTTAATAATATTAACAAAACATACCTTATAAAATCAGACGGTCATTAACATAAATAAATACAAATTAATACTTCGGATGACCAAAATAATATTAAAATAGAAGTGACCTATTCGCCGCTATCTGTCAGATAAAAATAAAAATGTCACTACCTCTGACACAAAGCATAGACGACAAATGATTACTGATTGTGTCCGAAATAACGGTTCCAACCGTTACAGAATGTAAAGTATAAAAAGCAGTAGGTATTTTGAATTATGTACATCAAACGTATATAGAATAATTATAAACATTAATGAATTTCGAAATATTTCTGCTTCCGTATTTCAATTAAGGTATTTAAAGTCGTCTAGCCATTCTTCCAATTTGCGCTCATAAAGGACCGTAGAACTCAATTTAAAAATTACATCTGTTGAATATTCAGAAATTCCGTTATACAAATTCGACTCGGAGATGGCTTTTAATGCTTTATTTACATTTTTGCTGTTAATGGAGGAATAATCGTAATAGTGAAAAGAAAAATTGCATTGTTAATGTTTCTGTTTCGAATTGAAAGAAAAAGATGTAATTAAAGTAGATAAAATTCTTAGACGTTGCAATTTTCTAATTTTCTGATAATTCCTAGTTATTTTTATGTTTTAATCGTCCAAAAGAAAACGTTTAGAAATATTTTTAACATTTTAACTTGCCGTTATGTTGCGTGACATATCATCATTTTTACAATATTATATAACTGTGTTTTCATGAAAGAAATTTATATTTTTCCTCAAATTTTTCTATTTTGGTTCATTTTAGAGATATTATAAAGAATCATATCGCAACCAACTTTTATTAGAACAATTTTCTTAAAAATTTGAATTTTGCACCTTTTGACGAATTTCACGAATACGGACCATTTTAGGAACATTATGTATGGAAAAAAATTATAAATAATAAGATTACAGGTAACTTTTACTTGAAAAAATTTCTTCTCGAAGCTTAAATAACAGATATATTCCATAAAGTAGGAAAACGACCCCCTATAAAGTACCGACTACGTCCAATATTTAATCCGTTACAATCACTGACGTTGGTTTTACAATTAAAGTGTTTAAAGCTTATTAATAAGGATCGTGGGGGCACTAGGATATAATAACTCAATTGTCCTGAAATTAGAAAATTGGACACCGCCGTATTTAAATTCACATAATAATATATTGATGATATTGATGAAAATGCGGAAACAAAAGTTACTGTTAAATTTTAATGAAAAATAAGGGATAAGCCTTCAGAAGGTACGTTAAAACCAAATTCTAATCTACATTTAAATTTTGACTTGTCTCAATGAAGTAGGGCTTCATTAAGGGATACAATAGTGAGTTTTAGCAAATGTACGTAAGATCTCCGCTAACGTTACGTTAAACTTAGATTGTGACAGTTTCCATAAGCATTCAAAGAGGTAGATTACAGTATATATCGCTAAGGTAACGTTAGTGGATGGTTAGCGGATGTTCGCTAAAACTCTCTAATAGGTCTCATCTACGATAGAAGATCTCCAAATCAGCAAATCATTGTAGCCTTCCAATAGTTCAGGCCTTTTTTCTTTCATTATACTTCTTGGACGTTGATTACCATCCAAATCAGCAAATCTTTCTCCATATAATCAGGTAAAGATCTTCTAAATCATTCTTCATATGATAATAACATCAAAATCATTATTCTAATTTACACCATTCAAATGTTGACGTGCTAAAAAGATTTCTACCTTTTAATGGATAAATCAAATAGGTAGGACGGATGAGACGAACGTTTTGAATAATAAAATTTAAAATTTTATTTTTTATATCTGACTATATTATTAAGTAGAAATAAGGTATAAAAAAATAATATTATTATAGGATGCATTCAAATATAAGGAAAAATAGGACATTCATATTATTAAAACAGAAAATTAGCAAACTAATATGCATCCTCGAATCTTCATAAACAAAAACTTTTAATATTGAAACCATTTGTACATGTTATTATATATCGGTAAGATAAGTCGTACTAGAATGAACCAGATATTAATAATTATTATTATTATTTTAATTAAAGTAAGAGAAAACATGAACTTTTGACCGTAAAATAGAAATTGAAAAACATAAAGGTACTTTAGACCCAAGTTTTTGAAGATATATTTATAAAGCTCCCAGATCTCTGCCCTCACATGCGTTAAGATTTATTTAAAAAAAAAAATTAAATTTTGAACGTAACACTTTAGGTAACAAGACATTAATTAAAATAAACATACCCCGGTCCTAAGTGCTTAATTTTACTATATTTTAAAACAATAATTAATATAATTTAAATTTATTGATTGGATAACTAAACTTTGAAATACATACTGAAGGAAAAGAACAAACCACTAAAACAATTTGTTTTAGGAAAAGTCATAATAGGTAATAAATGTCACAATAGGTAATAACTGTCAAAATCGGTATGGTAAGCAGAAAGAATGAAAATTGAACTATATATGAATCTCTAAGATCATAATTACTAATATGGTAATTACCTAAATGTTTGCCATCTAAGTCTTTAATATTATACACTAGTTTAGAGAGAACTTTATGTACTATACACGGAGTGTATTTTGGTGCAAACTTAGCATTAAAATCATTAGCTTTTGAAGATAAGACAAAACTCCTTCGAAACCTGTTGGTCAGAAGATAATATAAATTAGAGTACCATTGGAAAACCCTTTAAAATGATGTGCCACCTGACTCCCTTTCCCATTTCGGATTTTAAGAGTAACATCTCTACGTCTCCTAGGAGGTTTTGCCACGAGTGTTAATAATATTCATTGTAGGTGTCCCCCTTGAAAATAAAATTGACGGGTGTTTGCGATTTTTCATATTATTTATTGAGAGGAAGATATTCAGGGTGGGAAGTTTTCGATGTGTCACCTTGTATATTCCATAAACTAGAAAAACAACCCTCTATAAAATATATCAGATGTTCCGACTATGCCCAAAATCTAATCTGTTAATTGCAGGATAGATTAAAACTCAAGTTTAAAATTTTGTGTGTTTCTTTGTATCCGTTTATGAGTATATAGATCCACACACACATACAGACATCATAGTGAAAATATTCTAAACGGATTTAGGGTGACCCCATTTAGGGGCTCTAAAAAACTATAAATCCATTGAAAACCCAAAGTCAAAAAATCTGTATAGAGACAGGAAAGTAAAAAAGACGGAAATATTAGCTTTTTTCACACTAATGGATTATTATTAACATTCTACAGCTATTTTATTATTCACGCATATATCAGAACTCTGATTTATTGTTTTCAATACATAAAAACAGTTTTGATCAATATACTTTTTTTTTCTTATTTCTCGATGGCAACAAAAACATTTCGTGATAAAGTAAATAACATTCGAGGATATTATACAAAAGCAAGAATGTTAATTGAAATAAATTTCTCTTTGACTGCCATTAAACACGAAAGTTTTTCGCTTTTATCATCTTTTTTTTTAATCCCAGGAAAAAAATATTGTACATTTGGCTTTTAATTGAAATTTATATAAAAGTAGTTTAATCCGAAATTTTGTGTAACAGAATTTAGAAAAATATTTATATTAAATTACATGATGAAAATTGTATAGTCTTTAGACCTTTAGACTTCGCGACCATATTGGCAAAAACGAAAATAAAAATCTGTAGGCGTACGCCAGTGTCGTAGGTTGTTTAAGTCCAAGGGCGAATGAGTAATTAGGGTTTTTATAAAAAAATATATTTATGTGACAATAGATGAAATAGTAGTTAGTATCTTAAGAACAATATGAAATAATGAATTCTTTATTATTGAAGAGTC